AGGTTAGGACATTTGGCGGAGAGTTCATGGAGCACTGGATGGGTGATCAAATCCATGGGAAGTTCCAGGTAGCGCAGGGAACTACCGAACCGTGTACTACTCCAGTACAACCCAGCCAGTGAGAAACAACCGTAGACAGCATAGGTGGAGAGGACAACACCACCACCACAAAGTAGAGAAATAGTTATTAAGGTTGAGAAATAGTTATCAAGGTAGATAAATAGTTATAAAGGTAGAGAAATAGTTATAAAGGTAGAGAAATAGTTATCAAGGTAGATAAATAGTTATAAAGGTAGAGAAATAGTTATCAAGGTAGAGAAATAATTATCAAAGTAGAGAAATAATTATCAAGGTTGACAAATTGTTATCAAGGTCGAGAAAGAGCTATCAGTGTATATAGATACATTAGTTTCATTATTACATTCTGTAACAGTTTATGCTCTTCATGCCGTGAATAACGTCGAGTCGACACTGAGGGAGACACTGGTGTCCTGTACTGTTCACTCGGTCTGTCGCCCCCCTTCAGGGGGAGGAAAAAATACAGATCTTTTTTTTCTTAATTATCTGATTTCAATGAAATTTTTACTGTGATTTAAATATCTTTTGAAACTTGCACACAATAGTTATTATGATGATTGCCTTAAAATATAGAGAGGGAAAAAAAAATTCTTGACTGTTTTATGGGGTGTCACTTCGATACCCTTAATGCAAAACTTGGTTAATAGACAATGTTGTAGTTGACCTGACATGAACAATAAAAGGTAGAATAATTGTATAACAACAGATTATCACTAATGTGTCAACATTTTGTCTTAAAAAAAATGTTGAATTTTGTTTTTTCATTTTTAATAATTTTTGGGAAAAAATAAATAAAATAAAAACGGTGAAGGCTATTGCAGATGCCTGTTGCTACGGTGTGAAGCCATGTGTTACATGTATCGAAAGGCGAATAACTTATTCCTTGGAAAAATAGAAATATAATTTTCTGAAACTCTACGGACTTGTCCCGCCACAAGTCAGGCGACTAACAGTCTCCTCTCAACACTGGTACAGCATCTGTACACCTCACACTCTGAACACTAATATTCTATCCTCAGAAAAGATGCCATGCTGTGTATTTTCAAAAAAAATCATAAAACTCGCAATTTTTGGAGTAAAAAAACACACACAATATGGCCATAAGATCGCCACCCACCTAGATACCCATGAATTACGGGTTTAGAGCAGGTAGCTCCTGTCTGTCCCAGCTACTGGACCACTATGATAACGTCCTGGATGCTTTAGAGGATAAATAATATGCAGATGTAGTATACACAGACTTTGCGAAAGCCTTCGACAACTGCGACCATGGTGTAATAGCGCACAAAAATGCTTCCTAACAAATACAACACAAAATGTAATAGTAAACAGAGTAAAGTCTGAGGCAGTTACGGTGAAAAGCTCTGTTCCACAAGGCACAGTACTCGCTCCCAGTGTTCCACAAGGCACAGTACTCGCTCCCAGTGTTCCACAAGGCAGAGTACTCGCTCCCAGTGTTCCACAAGGCACAGTACTCGCTCCCAGTGTTCCACAAGGCACAGTACTCGCTCCCAGTGTTCCACAAGGCACAGTACTCACTCCCATCCTGTTCCTTATCCTTATATCTGTGACAGAGATATAACCCATAGCTCCGTGTCTCTCTTTGCGGATGACACTCGAATTACCATGACAGTGTCCTCCATCGAAGACACTTCAAGACTCCAAACGGACATCAACCAAATCCTTAAATGGGCCGCAGAAATCAATATGAAGTTCAATGAAGAGAAATTTCAATTACGTACTCCGATATGGAAAACTTGAGGAAATTAAAACTTTATCAGAGTATAAAACAAATTCTTACCATACAATAAAGCGAGAAACTAATGTGAAGGATCTGGGAGTGATAATGTCAGAGGATCTCACCTTCAAAGACCACAATAATGTATCTACCTCATCTGATAGAAAAATGATAGGATGGATAATGAGAACCTTGAAAACTAGGGATGCAAAGCCCATGATGATTCTCTTCAAATCACTTATTCTCTGTAGGCTGGAATACTGTTGTACACTAACTACTTCCTTCAAGGCAGGCGAAATTGTAGACCTGGAGAGTGGACAGAGAACTTTCACGACACACATAAGTACAATAAAGCACCTAAATTACTGGGAACGGTTGAAAGCCCTTGATTTGTATTCCCTGGAATGCAGGCGAAAAAGATGCATGATAATATACACTTCAAAAATAATAGAGGGATTAGTACCAAGATTGCACACGAAAAATCACTCATTAAGAAATCAAAAGACTCGGCAGGAGATGCAACATTCCCTCAGTGAGAAGCAGGGGCGCCATGAGTACACTGAGAGACTACACAATACGTGTCAGGGCCCCAAAACTGTTCAACTGCCTCCCAGCATACTAAGGGGGATTACCATTAGACCCCTGGCTGTCTTCAAGAAGGTGCTGGACAGGCACCTAAAGTCAGTACCTGATCAGCCGGCCAGAAGTAACAGCCTGGTTGATCAAACACTGTCTCAGTAGTAGTACCAGTTACCAGTAACCAGTGTACCAGTAGATGACTCACTACCAACCGTCTCTGCGTGAATCACTGTCTGTATTCATATTGTGCTGACCACAGCAGTATTTCAAACACCCCCTCACATATGGGTACTGGGGTTAGTTAGTCTTACGAGAGAGAGCAAGGAGACAGGTCACGGCTGTTTGGCGCTTCCCACATTATCCGTAATATACTCTCTACAACCTTCAGTACTCTAGGTCTTTCCGTGGCCGTTCCAACCGCAGAACCCGTAGAGGAAACAGATATCGTGGTTCTCAAAATAACCAGAACCAGGCTCATTCTTCCAATTCGGGGGAATTCAAGCGCCCCAGTCAAACCGTCCCATGGTGACAGTAGGTGATAATGAGCACACCATTCCCGTTCACAATTCCTTTGAAGCCTTAAGCAGTCTCGAGAATGACAATCCTGCTGATGATGTTGCTTCACATGTCTCTGACATAGATGATTTTAGGGATGAAGTAGAAACAAGTCTTTTCTGATGACAATCATAATTTTTGTTTGCACATAACTTCCAATGCAACCATAGGCCCTATAGTGCAAGCATCTGTTCATAATGCGCCCGTTCTTTTGTTCATGGATCTGGTGGCAATAAATTATTTGGTTGTTTGTTTAAGGTAACGTTACGACATGTCCTTCTGTAGAAAACCCATCTTTTGGGCCT